GTACGTAATTATTATTCTAATGATTAGCGCGTATCATTTTCCTTATATATCAGTATATGTATAAATGATCTGTTACACTTTTACTGATATTAAATTAATGAAAAGAAGTATTAGTAATCTCACGTGTAGTAAACATTAACCTATAATAATATTGGATTTATGTTATAATTTTGTATGTACCAAAATAAGAACAGTATAAAATCTGTCAAATTAACATTTCAAACATACTAATTTTAAAATATATTAAGGACATTTATGCATTTATATATAGATACATATAAATATTTGTGCTTGTATATGTGTATGTTTATATGTGTAATCTATAATTATTTACACATTTATATTTTTATATAAAAAGAATATTTATATTTTTATAGATTGTGTATATAAATATATTTTTATGTAAAAAGAATATTTATATTTTTATAGATTGTGTATATATATATATATATACAATCTATAAAAATATAAATATTCTTTTTATATAAAAATATGTGTGTAAATAATTATAGATTCAGCTTATAATAATTAACCATAGAAGGAGGAGGGCATACTAGGTGGCGGCGGGACGCCGTGCGTTCGAGATCTGCATATTTTTTTCGTTCCAGAAAGAGAAAAATATCGAGAGCGCGGTCCTGCTAGGCCGGGACTCGAATCCGGGTCTTTCGCTTGCCGGACGACTGCTGTAAACCACTGAGTTACCTGACGCTCCACGCTCACGACACTCTTCTTTTCCTAGATAACGCTCAGAGATGCCGTTCGGAAGCGACATCTCTGGCGCGATCCCGAGCGCACGGTGACTACAGAGAGAAACAATGTTACTGTACCAAATGATACAGCTGTCAGTCTCTCAAAGTCAAAGGTTGCTATCCTTTAAGACCTGCTATAATAATTATAGAGACAGCTTTTATTAAAATCTGATTAAGCTAGGGAATTTTTTGAAAAGTATGCCCTCCTCCTTCTATGGGTACGTTCAGATTCCCTACCCGGGTGCACTCTAATACTAGAAGTGCTATAGTATATGTAACATATACTATAGTGTTTCTAGTAATAGAGTGCACCCGGGTAGGGAATCTGAACGCACCCTATGGTGGATCCCCTATGGCGCATTGCGTCCAAGCACCTGAGGGCTGCCAAAAAAAATTGGTGTCGACTCCGGGGCTTATTTGTATTATTTGCACCGGATGAGGAGGTGCAACAGTGGAGACGGGCATATATGAACAGCAGGTCTTAAAGGATAGCAACCTTTGACTTTGAGAGACTGACAGCTGTATCATTTGGTACAGTAATAATGGCTGCATTCAGTAGACTCAACAGTTGCACAACAGTTGAGTAATTTATCAATGTAATTAGTCTAGATTTAGGGATCTAATAGCAAGAACCAATAATCGTTGATTGCTCACTGAGCGCTTTTTCTACTGAATGCGCCCATTGTTTCTCTCTGTAGTCACCGTGCGCTCGGGATCGCGCCAGAGATGTCGCTTTCGAACGGCATCTTTGAACGTTATCTAGGAAGAGGAGAGTATCGTGAGCGTGGGGCGTCAGGTAGCTCAGTGGTTTAGAGCAGTCGTCCGGCAAGCAAAAGACCAGGGGTTCGAGTCCCGGCCTAGCAAGACCGCGCTCTTGATATTTTTCTCTTTCTGGAACGAAAAAGATACGCAGATCTCGAACGCACGGCGTTCCGCCGCCATCTAGTATGCCCTCCTCCTTCTATGGTCGATTGCATATCACTGTTCAGTTGGATTTCCAATCCGACAACTTATCGTAAACACCCCTAATGACAATGGGTGTGTTCAGCGAACTCAACATTTGCACAACAGTTGAGCAATTCGTCAATGTAATTGGTCTAGATTTAGGGATCTAATAGTAAGAACCAATCGCTGATTGCTCACTGAGCGCTTTTTCCGCTGAACGCGCCTATTTAT